AAGGTACAAAAAATTCTAAAGTGATTTATATTGGTCTGATTTTTTTTACATTTCAAAAACCTGGCATTTTAACAGGGGGGGTGCAGACTTTTTATATCCACAAAAGTGATTTATGCTTAGACATTCATTTGTGTTAAAATTCTTGACACTGCCAAGATCTCCTCCCATTAACATCACTTCATTATGTTTCTGCTAAAACCTTTTCTGCCCTCATTCATGCATTTACCCTTGTGTTGTGTGGGTGTTCCAATTATGCATCCTGTCTGCCACTTACTTCCCTACCCGCAATAGCTACTACTGCTATGATAGAGTGAAAATGGCCATTAATATCTTTGCTAGAACCAAAGTTGGACATATTAGGTTACACTGAAGATGGTGCACTCTTCAGCCCTAGGATAAATTTTTAACCTGGGCAAACCTAATGGTGCAACTAACAAAGAATGCCAATAAATTCTATGGAGCCATGATGCACTCTACCTTTTTGCTGTGTTAACCACACATATTAGAAATCCAAAAAGATGGAAGAGATGCTTTCACTATACACAAAACATGAGATAAGAAGTTAAACAAAATGTACTTAGTGCTCCCTAATAAGGGTCTACAAATGTATGAGCACATAAAAGCATTTTCAATCAATCAGAATAGAACTGGAAGAGACCTTGGAGGTCTTCTAGTCCAGCCCCGTGCTCAAGCAGGAGACCCTATACTATCTCAGACAAGTGACTATCCAGTCTCTTCTTAAAAACCTCCAGTGATGAAGCACCCACAACTTCTGAAGGCAAGCTGTTCCACTGGTTAATTGTTCTCACTATTAGAAAGTTTCTCCTTAATTCCAGGTTGTTTCTCTCCTTGATTAATTTCGATCCATTGTCCTGCCCTTTGGAAAATAAGTTGACCCCCCTCCTCTTTGTGACAGCCCCTCAATTACTGGAATACTGTTATCATGTCACCCCTAATCCTTTTTTTCTCTAAACTAGCCAACCCCAAATCCTGCAACCATTCTTCATATGTTTTAATCTCCAGGTCTTTAATCTAGAAAGAGTACAGAGAAGAGCAACAAAGATGATTAGGGGACTGGAGGCTAAAGCATATAAGGAATGGCTGCTGGAATTGGGTATGTCTAGTTTAATGAAGAGAAGGATGAGGGGGGGACATGATGGCAGTATTCCAATATCTCGGGGCTGCCATAAAGAAGAGGGAGTCAAGCCTCCAAGGCACCTGAAGGCAGGACAAGAAGCAACGGGTATAAACTAAGCAAGGAGAGAAGCAACCTAGAGCTAAGGAGAAACTTCCTGACAGTGAGAACAATTAACCAGTGGAACAACCTGCCTCCAGAATACTGGAAGTTTTTAAGAAGAGACTGGACAGCCATTTGTCCAAAATGGTATAGGGTTTCCTGCCTGAGCAGGGGGTTGGACTAGATGACCTTCAAGATCCCTTCCAACTTTACTATTATTATTATAATCATCTTAGTTGCTCTTCTCTGCACTTTTTCCAAAGTCTCAACATCTTTTTTGTAATGTGGTGACCAAAACTGGATGCAGTGTTCCAAGTGGTCTTACTAAGGCTTTATAAGCAGTATTAATACTTCATGTGATTGTAATTCTATGCCTCTGTTTATACAACCAAGGATTATATTAGCTTTTTTGGCTACTGCCACATACTGTTTGATCATATTTAAATGATCATTCACTAGCACTCCAAGGTCCCTCTCATAGTCACTGTTTTTGAACCAGGTTTTGCCTAATCTGTATTTATACCTTTGGTTTTTCCTGCCTAAGCTTAAAACCTTGCTTTTCTCTGCATTAAATTTCATTTTGTTGGATAGGGCCCATTATTCAAGTCTTTAAGATCTTTTTGGATCTTGAGTTTGTCTTCTGAAGTATTGGCTATTCCTGCCAGCTTAGCGTCATTGGTAAATTTGATCTAAGTCATTTATGAAGATATTGAAGAGTACTGGGCCTAAGATGGAACCTTGTGGTACCCCACTGCTTACTTCCCTCCATGTAGATGTAGTACCATTAAGAACTACTTGTTGAATATAGTTTGTCAGCCAGTTACATATCCATCTGGTGGTGATGCTGTCTATGCCACATTTTTTTAGCTTACCAAGAAGTAGGTTGTGGTCTACTTTGTCAAATGCCTTACTGAAATCTAAGTATACTATGTCCACAGCATTTTACTAGTCTACTAACTTATTCACTTTGTCAAAGAATGAAATAAGATTGGTTTTTTAACAAATCTGTGCTTTTAGTTCTAACTGTATTTGTTTTTAGATGTTCGTAGATCTGTGTTTTTATTATCTTTTCCGATATCTTTCCAGGTATTGATGTTAGGCTGATTGGTGTGTAGTTTTCTGGGTCTGCTCCCCCCCCTTTTTTTCTTGAAGATGGGAACCAAATCAGTTTTTTTCCAATCCTCAGGCAATTCCCCAGAGCTGCAGGATTTTTGAAAGATATGGTACAATGGTCATGAGATAACATCTGCCACCTCCTTCAGACTTCTGGGATGCAATCCATCATGACCAATGATTTATATTCATCAAGTTCAGATAGGTGTTATCTAATTTTCTTGCTTATTTTAATTTTTATTTCTAGTCTGTCTTTTATTGTTAGGTTTTTGGTAGGTTAGGCTATAGTTTATTTTTGCTTGAAGACTGATGCAAAGAAGGAATTAAGCAGTTCTGGTTTCTCTCTGCTTCCTGTTATTCCTTGCCATCTTCTCTCTTTAGTCGGCCTACTGTTTCCTTGATTTTTTTCTTGTTATTTGTAGGTTGAAAGAAACCGTTTTTTTAAATTATCCTTGACTTTTGTTGTAACTCTTTGTCCATTCTCAACTTTTGCTTTCCTGACTTCATCTTTGTAGATAATGGATAAAGGGGATCCAAGATGGTGGCAGCGTAGGAAGCAGTATTGGATCACGGGGATAGAAGTTACCAAACTAAGTAGGAAGGTACTAGGAGAGGGGGAAAAGGGAGGGGAAAGAAGCATAAAGTTAGATAAGGAAGATAGAAAGGATAAAGGAAAAGAAGAAATTGGGGCAAGGAGGAAAACACCAGCAAACAGGAGCGCAGTGAATGAATGGCTGGCACGTGGAGTCAGAAGTAGCCAGCAACAGAGAATGAGAGAGCCAGCTCCAGAGCACAACTAAGCAGCCCAACGCTGGAGGGGAAAAAAGGCAACTGAGAGCAGGGAACCGGCAGCTGAATAGCAGACAAGGAAGGAGACTGTTGGAAGCAGTGAACCAGTGGGTCACAGCATATTCTGTAATTGCTAGGCTCACACTAAATCAAGGCAGCCCAGCTGGAGGGGGCAGCCAGGCAGCCCAACCCAGGGCCCAGCAAAGTAGAGACAGCCCAACTACCACCGCCTTCTCCCTGCCTCTTTCCAGCCCCACAGCCCTCCCCAGGTGGAAGACTGGACCAGCATTCTCTCCCCACTGAGACAGCAGCCCCCTCCCCCGCCTCCTGCTAGCCTGGTATGGCAGCAGACAAAAGGCCTATAGCAATCCGTCAGCTGTGAGGAATTGGTGGTGGCAAAACCTGAGGAGGGGAGAAATGCAGAGCAGCAGCAGCAGTAACAGATGAGATACTTGGAGCTAGAGAGCTCCGATCTCTGAAGCTGAATGGCTGGCTGAGAGGAGCAGACCAGATGATAGCAGACCTGAGCTGACCAGAAAGCTAAACGGAGACCTCACTAGAGCAGAGACAAGCACCAAAAGACAGAAGGGAGCCAGCAGAGAAAACAATAAGAGACCAGAGCATTGAGCAATGGAAGTGAAGGCAACAATTAAGTTTGAAATCGCAATAGGAAGGGAGGAAAGACCCCCAGTAAAGAATAAAAAGGAATAGGAGCTCAATTTAAAAAAAAAATAGAGGGAAGAAAAGAATAAATAAAACTAGCATAATAGTAAGAAGGTTAAATAAATAACAAGGTAGAAAAACAAGCACAAACAGGCAGAAAAAAGAATTCAGGCTACCTGCTGATATACTGCCTTAGTTGTGTGTCCCTCTTTCCATTTTTTTGTACTTGGCCTTTTTGTCTTTCAGTTTAACAGATTTCTTGCTTTTCTTTTTCAGTGGTATTGTGCTGGACTGGGCTCTTATGATCATATTTTTCAGAGATTTCCATGCTTCTTAAGTTGTTTTCCTTTTTAGGATTTTCATCCATGGAATCTTTCTTAGGCTCTCTTTGAGATTGTTAAAATCAGATATTTTAAAGTTTAAGACACTGGTTGGATGATATTCTATTGCTTGTGTTTGAATTATGTTGAATTCCAATATGACATGGTCACTCTCACCCAAAGTTCTGGCAAGTTCAAGTCCTTTATATCACTTCTTCTCTATTACTAAGAATTAGGTCCAGTATAGCTTTTCCTCTAGTTCCCTCCTCTCCCTTTTAGATGACAAAGTTGTCAGCTAGGTTGGCTAGGAATCTGTTCGATCTCCCACTTGTTACCGAGTTTGTCTTCCAGTTGATATTAGGGTAGTTAAAGTCTTCTATTATTACTGTGGTATGTTTTCTAAAAACATTCATTAATTGATTAGCAATTCATCTCACCTAGTTTCAGTAATGGCAACTACATCCAGTGGTGGATAGTTAATTTTTTGTTGCCCATGCACAGAATGGACTTCCGGAAACAGCATCCACACAGAGAACCAGTTATTCACATATTTGAATCCCACCACTGACTATATCATACATATATTGCTTACAAATATGACATCATGCCCTTTTCCCCATTGGTTCAGGATCTCACTTTCAATGAATTTGCTATAGCTGAGATTCCCAGGAAACATAAACATAGCATAATGTGAGGGAAGTTTGTAAATATGCAGGGGCTTCAGGAAACATGATTTTAAAAAGAGACATGCAGCTTTTTTAAAATTTCAACTATTAGGTTTTTTTAAAAATGTTCTATATACTTGCATACACCCAAACGTAGTTTAGTAACACATCAGTAAAGCTTAAAAGATAGCTGTATGATGAAACATCTAAGTTTCAATCACAACAGACAAACTGCACATCATTAAGCCCTGTGTTATCAGAAACAGGTAAAGTACTCAAAGGCTCAATCTTGGTCTGGATACCACATATGGCCCCAACTTTGCAGAAATCACTCCATGGACCATAAGTACCCCAATTATTTGAAGAACCCTTCAACACTTGCTTACTTTGGCAAGTGAACTTAATATTATTCGCTGCTGTGTCATCACTGGGTCCTTGAGGGGCTTCCACCTGGAGAGCAAAGGACATTAAATTGCCCTCGGAACACTTCTCAACATCTCCCCAAACTCCAAACCTGTAAGGAAATACAGTATTCAGAAGAAACATAGAACATAGAAGAGTTCTCAGAGATCTTCTAGTCCAACCCCCTGCTCAAAGGCAAGAACTTTATACCAGTCAAATGGTTGTCCAATCTATTTTTCATCATTCAGTGATGAACAACTCTGGGAGGCAAGCTATTCCATTGATTGATTGTTCTCACAACCAGAAAATTTCTCCTTAGTTCTAAGTTGGATATCTCTTTAACAAGCTTCCACCCACTACTTCCTGCCCTGTTCTCTGGAAAATAAGTCAATCCCCTCTTTTTTGTGACAGCTTCTCAAGTACTGGGAGACAGTTATCATGTCTCCCCTAATCCTTCTCTTCCTTAGGCTAGACATATCTAGCTCCCTCAATCATTTATCATATATCATACTGAAGTTTTTGTCTGCATAAATTTAGTGTCCTGTAGCACTGTACATCATGGGTGATTACTCATGATTTATGATAATAAATCAGCACCAAAACTTTCTATATAACTAGCTGTTCTCATGGACTAAGAATACAGTGGATTTTTTGCTCCTCAAATTCAGCTTCATTTTTGACAAGCAATTTAACATTGGAAGTTGAGGAAGATAGTGATTATTGCTTTCTCTGTCTTATTTTCTTTGGATTTATAATATTAGCACAGACCAGAGAATGCCCTGACTAAACATTATCCTATTTTCTCATATCAGTTCATGTAGCATAACATATTTCTTCCAACCCTACAAAGTCAAACAGAGAGACAAATCTAAAAGATACTTACATTCCAGTAGCAGATTGAATCACTTCACCCTCTGTACAATAAAGACGGATACCATTAAGAGATGTGTCATCTAAAATAGTACCTTGAGGTGAATGAACCTAATACAAAAGAAAAAACAAGACTGCAGATAGTCCTCGACTTATGTTTGTAATTGAGTCCACAATTGGTCATAAGTTGGTCGTTAAGCAGGTCATCACATGACCCCACCTGATTTTATTACCTCTTTTGCAGCAATGGAAGCTGCAGCCACTAAGTAAACCCACTGTTCACTCTGGGGCATTTTATTTCTGGAAACTGAAAATAAATACCGATTTCTGGCAAAATGTTGTAAAGCAAGATAATGTGATGGCAAGATGCTGCAAATGGTCATAAATGTGGTCACATGATCCCCAGGGGGTGCAGCTACTATAACTTTGAATCCAGGTCATAAGCAGATTTTTTTGAGGTCCCTCATAACTTTGAATGCTCAATAAGTGACCAGCCATACATTGAGGACTACCTATATTATGAAGCAAACAAAGTCATAACTAGTAGCCAGCATGGGTTTGTTAAAAACAGATCATGCCAAACCAACCTTATCTCATTCTTTGATAAAGTGACTAAACTAGTAGACCAGAGAAATGCAGTGGACATGGTATACTTAGATTTCAGTAAGGCATTGGACAAAGTAGACCACAACCTACTCCTTGGTAAGCTAGGAAAAGGTGGAATAGACAACATCACCACCAGATGGATCTGTAGCTGGCTGGCAAACCCTAATCAATGAGTAGTCCTCAATGGCACTACATCCACAAGGAGAGAAGTAAGCAGTGGGGTACCACAAGGTTCCATCTTAGTCCCAGTACTCTTCAATATCTTCATAAATGACTGAGATGAGGGAATTGAAGGGGAACTCATCAAATTTCCAGATGATACCGAACTGACAGGAGTAGCCAACACCCCAGAAGACAAACTCAGGATCCAAAAAGATCTTGACAAACTTGAACAATGGGCCCTATCCAACAAAATGAGTTTCAATGTGGAGAAAACCAAAGTCTTACATTTAGGCAGTAAAAACCAAAGGTACAAATACAGATTAGGTGAGACCTGGCTCAAAAACAGTAACTGTGAGAGGGACCTTGGAATCCTAGTGGATGATTACTTGACTATGAGCCAGCAGTATGCAGCAGCAAGCAAAAAAACTAATACAATCCTGGGTTGTATAAACAAAGCCATAGAATCAAGATCACACAAAGTATTAGTACCACTTTATAAAACCCTAGTAAGACCACACCTCAAATACTGCAGCCAATTTTGGTCACTATATCATAAAAAAGATGTTGAGAGTTTGGAAAAAATTCAGAGAAGAGCAACTAAAATGATCAAAGGCCTGGAGAATAAAACATATGAAGAACGACTATGGGACTTGGGTTTGGCTATTCTAAAGAAAAGAAGAAATAGGGGCAACATGATAACAGTATTCCTGTATCTGAAGGGCTGCCACAAGGAAGAGGGGGTCAAATTGTTCACCAGAGCACCAGAGGGAAGGACGAGAAACAATGGTTGGAAACTGATCAAAGAGAGAAGCAAACTTGGATTAAGGAGAAACTCCCTGACAGTGGAACAGCTTACCCCCAGAAATCGTGGGCGCTCCATCACTGGAGATTTTTAAGAAGAGACTAGACATTCACCTGTATGAGACAGTATAGGTTTACCTGCTTGAGCAGGGGGCTGGTCTAGGAGACCTCCAAGGTCCCTTCCAGCTCTATTCTATTCGAAACTGATTCTGTGATATCTAATTAAACAAGATCTTTGTAAGTCAACTAAGTGGGAGAAATTCAATCTTCTACTCACTTGTCAAGACTTACCCAACCCCACACTATTTCTTTGGAGCAGGAGCTGGAGGTCCAAAACTTGCAATGAAGCATCATATCTGAGTTGGATTACTTCATATTTCAATGTAATCAGGAATTGGGATCACTTTTGGGGGGAGGGGGAAGCAAGGAAATTTCTACTGCCCTTTCCTATCTGCCCAAGTCCTCATTTGTGGTGATTTCTTTTCTTTTAAATACAGTGAAGAGTAATGCTGTCCTTTGGGAATTAACAAAAAATATTAATTTTTCTTCAGAACAGTTTTATCTTTTATTAAAAAGATCTCACTTGAAGTTTCCATGTTTATTTATTCCACTTGAGCATGCTGTTTTAAAACCAACTGAAACAGCAATCAGAACTAATACATTATTAACTTTCTTCTATTTTCTGTTGCCATAAAACAATAAACTGATGTGAAGCAATAAAAGGGGTAATTAAGAAACTATTACTCAGTAATCTTAATGTTATGCTCAGAAATTGTGCCTCTAGGTTTGCCACCAAATACTGATGATATAATCTCTGGAGGTTACAATGAAAGAAGCTTAGGACCATGAGTTATCTATCCTGCTCAAATGAATGAATGAATGAATGAATGAATGAATGAATGAATGAATGAATGAATGAATGAATGAGGAAGGAAGGAAGGAAGGAAGGAAGGAAGGAAGGAAGGAAGGAAGGAAGGAAGGAAGGAAGGAAGGAAGGAAAATCGCCTTAAGGACAACGTTACTAATTACAACTGCAGAGAATCTTGACTAGAGTGGACTGACCAAATATAACACAATGATATTGGCCAAGTGAATGGCATTATAGTATAAACTACTTTTTAATGTTGCCTCCAGAGGACAATGAAAATCAACATTAATTAGAAAGCACTGAGTAGTGTTCAATAAATTAGAGCATCTTGAATAGTCTCTAGACTTCTTGCAGCCATTATATCTGAATTAGGTACAAAGAATGAATAAATGGAACACAGCTACTTCCATCAGACCTACATCTGATCTAAATATTTGTAGCAAAACACTTCATCTGACTATCACTCAAAACCTTTTCTTTTCCTTTACTTCCCTCCCCATTTTTAGTACTATCACATCTCCATGATTTAATTTTTCCAAGCCTGAGGGAAGTTTTAGCGGATCTCAAAATGGATTAGGACTACTTTAGAGAGACAACTGTGAGAGTGATTTAGCCTCATGAGGTCTGAACAAGGTAAGACCAGGAGACTTTTACCTTCAAGGAGAATCCATTTGCATAGCCTTTTGAACATATGGTCATTTTCCCCCATTCTCCCCACTGTCCTCCATTTGGCACTCTGAGGACCAAGTTATAATCTCGACATTCTGCATTCCAAAGCCAACAAGAAAGGATCAGGAACACTGCAGAACTGAAGTAGGGGTCCATTGTCAGACAATTCTGTGAAGATCAAAATAAGAAATACTTAGTACTTAAGTATTAAGGTTTTGAGTGTGCAGCTGATGGGCAGGTTAGCTTGGTCGCTCAACAGTGAGACACTGGTGAAGTGGGCACATCAGCCCCTGCACTTTCTGTGTCATATCCTTACCACTTTTTACAGAGGGACGATTGAAAGCATCCTGTCGTATTACTGAGTGGTTTGGAAGTATTACTGTTTTGGACAAGAAGGCTGTGCTGAGAGTGGTGAGGATGGCAGAAAAGATTATTTGAGGTTCACTTTCTTCTATCCAGGACATAGTATATAAGCGCTGCTTGACCAGGGTCCTCAGTATTGTCTGGAATGTTACACATCCTTTCCATGACCAGTTTTCTTTGTTAGCTTCTGGGAGAAGACTTCACAGTATCTGAAGCAGAAAAACTAGATTCTGTAATAGGTTTATATCATATATAGCATCAACCTTGTTAATTCTCAAGATTCTTTTTTCCGCTATGTATTCTAAATGGTCTGTTATTAATGTGTGTGTATGTGTGCATGCATGGGTATGGGTATGGGTATGGTATATATATTCTTTTGAGAATAGGCATCAGAATTTTATTTTTTAATGTATGCTAGTGTGTTCATAGAAAAAAGTGACAATAAAGCTTATCTCATCTCATCCTATCCTATCTCTTATCATCTCTTATATCATCATCTCCTATCTCTTGTCTCTTGTCTCTTATCCCTTATTCATTATCCATTATGTATTATCTTAATAAAAGAATCAGAACTTTCAAAATGTATAGCCTAGATATTTTAGCTGAATCTCTGGTTCTACTTTATTTAAGTTCAACCTATCTTCTTCCAACCCACAAAACTTTTCTCTACTCAGTCACCAGTTACCTCTTTTCCTTCCATCCCATTGTTAATGTTGTTCTCCGTTCATTCCTTACTTTACTTTAGTACTCGTCTTAACTTCACTTGTTTCTTTAGTCCATATCCCTTTATCAGAGTCTTGTTCTCACACTCTGCCTCATTGTTTCCCTTCTGCACCTATAATCCAGGGCTAAGTGATATGATACCCTTAGACCTTAAACCACCTGCAAACCCTGATTTTTTTTTCACTGTTTATTGATAACACTACCTTTCGACCCTATGGAAATGCCTAGAAATCCTAGAAGGCCAGTTTGCCTTCAGATGCATGGGTTGTTTTGGGATTGGTCATGCCCACATGACCATCACTTTGTGAATGGGGGAGATTCCCAAGCCAACTATTTTGAAAGTGTGCCTATCATAGATTTTCAACATTCTAAATTGACCAATGGACCAAAAGATTGCCTGTGGCTACCTTAATGTATTTTTCTCCTTTCTTATTCCATAGCTTTTCACACTCTATAGATTCTTTAGCCATTTCTTTTTCTTTGCCTTAATTTCTCAGTCTCTCCTTCCTTCTAAACCATGAAAGCCATCTCTCACTTTTATGTCCACATTATACATAGAGCAAGAACAGTTATCCATATTCCACTTGAACCAGGTTTTCTACTTTTCCATACAACTACATGTGTGTAATTCTGACTCAATCACAACCCCTGGTCTCCCTTCCCTGCTCCCTACAGCCCTCTGCAGCTCCACTTACTGTCTTCCTGCAGTCAATTGTCTTACAGTCAGAATGGAAAAGACTTTAAATGGGGACCTTTGTGTAGGCAGGACAAGAAATATGGGCAGGGTCATGAAACCTGAGCACCTTCTATTGTCTTCAGTGGATAGAGCCAGGAAATAAAAAATGACTGTAGTTGCTAATTGAAAATAAGATCTAGTTTATTTACATTTTGCTTTTTGAATACTTGGTTTAATTATATTTTAAATTAATTACATTTATTAAAGATGCTGAACAATATATAAACAAGGTATGGGCAGTCTTTCAATAGCTGTGAACCACATTTAACATCTGGCAAGGGAGGGGAGAGCTCCATATTAAGTATGCTGCTGCTGCTGGTGGTGGTGGTGGTGGTGGTGATGATGATGATGATGATGATGATGATGATGATGCAAAGTGAGTAGAAATGAGGCCATTATTTGTGGAACAGAAGATAACATATTTGTGTTATTTGTGTTATTATTTGGTATATTATGAGAACCCAGACTATTAGTTTTACACACTAAATTGTGCTTAAGATGATCACACATGGAGATCTTATATAGTTACACCCTTGAAATAACAGGAAATCAAAGTGCTAATTTTTAATAATTATGGTCAGAAGAGACTTGAGAATCCCACAAATGATGGGGGAGCACAAGTTGCTTACTTCTGTAATAAGCCATAGTTTGTGCAACACAACAGTAGTCCCCATAGCACTAGCTCAAGCAAACCATATTATGGGTTACCACCATGTATGAATCCAGCCATTAGAAAGAATAAATGTCCTTCTTTTTACTAAATCAAATAAAATACACGGTTTTGTGTGTGTTGTATTTGAGGGAAGACAAAATTATTAATCATGTGTCCATGCTGGTCATATTATTGCATGGTCATTCCAAGGACTGCTGCAGAGATACAGCAGACTCAACAGCTATGACTATATGCAGACTGTTTTTGCTAGGAATGAAAAAAAGAGGGAAAACTTGTACATTTTCAAAACTAAAAGCTCCTTTATCCCATTAAGTTCTTAATTTTGAAAATGTACACTTATTTATTTATTTAATATTTTTTTTTCTACTTATAGTCTTGGCATCGTAGCCATTCAATTCAACAATTTGCATATCTTGCTCTAGAAGTGGGGTGTCTATACAGGTCTTTTCCTCTGGAAGAGTTAACCAAGAAATTCTACTGACTCTACATTTACTGCCTTTAAGTTTTGAAATGGATTATCTAAGCAGATCTAAAACAAATACTGAAGCTAACTGTTCAAACTATGTTTTTTTTAAACAAATTGCTGAAACTAATTGCTGAAATGATTTCTAAAAATTAACCATCAGAACAAATTGCTAAACTAACTCATGGTGAAAGCAATAATCTCATGGAAACTTATTTTTATCAGTTTAAATCAATCTGCCATATTTAGTGTAACTTATGACCCAAAGAGAACTTGTTGTCTTGTTCCAAAGATCATTGTGTTTGGATTGTATGGACCTCTGCAGAAAACAGCCTAGCAATTGTATTAGCCATGAAAGTAAACATTCACTGAAACATTTTGATGGCAAGTGAGGAGGGTGCAAAACAGGTGGGACCAGGAGTGTGTGCTGTTATTTTGTTAAGAAATGGGAAGGGGAAGGATTAGGAAGTATTTTCTTTATGATGCAGAAAAACAAAGGCATTCTGCTTCTATTACTTTATATTTTTTCTACTGTGTGTTTGGAAACTAGTTGAGTCGACAAGCGTAATTAAGGTGCAAACCAATCCTCCTGGATCTTCCTTAAGCTCTTTGTTTTTCTGTATCGTTTACTTTAGATAAAACTTCAGTCATTGGAGTTCCTACTTTAGTTCCTAAACTCCTATGGACGTCACCAGATATTTATTCAGCCATCCTCTCAGAATTATCTCCTTTGTTCTCCAGACTCAAATGTCAAATTTTATCAAACTATTTTTTTGACAATAGACACCAATAATTTTTCCCAATTTGAAAAGGTGCTCCTCTAAAATATCTCCAATGCTCTTCATTGGTCAAGGTTATTTTTTAAATATTGCAGTGACTAGTTGTCCTCTCCTCCTTTTTTCTTTATTTATACTTTTCATAGGTTTTTGTCCTCAAAATGGCAGGAAGTAAAGCCTCTGATTTTCAACAGTTGTGACTGGAATTCCCAAACGTTGATCCCAGACCACAAAAACTGGTTTCAAAATAAATTCTAAGACTATGGAACAAAACTTAGATGATCTGTCTTTATTATGCTATTGCTTTATAATTTGTTTGTAGGCCCGGTTGAAAATGTTGTTCCTGACATTTAAACATGAACATGTTGAGACCCACGTGTTTACATGAAGAGCATAGGATCACATAGTGAGGCACTCTCCAGAGGCTCCTAAGTGAATTATGATATATAATGGTGAAACAACTATGAATTGTTAAATATAAGGAACAACAACAACAGTGTTGAGCAACCAAATCAGAATCCTCACTTTTCACAACTGCAACAGCAGAGCAGGGCAAATATTTAAGTAATTGCTACTTAATTGTTTTGTCTTTGTGTAGCCATAAAGTCAACTTCCAAAGGAGACATTGGAATATGCAATGTCTCCTAGAGGTAACACCTTAAATAAAGGCCTTGCACTGGTTTGCTTTTGTATCTTTCTTATATACCTTATGGATGCTTGTGCTGCTAATAATAAGTAATTAAATATTAGTTAAGCACCTTTATACTATTTGTAAATGGATTCGTTCCCACTTAAAACTCCTGGTTGAATGGAAAGTCCATGTCTGCCTTGAAAGTAACAAAGATGCTGAAGAATCTTTTCATAGCTTAGGAACAACTCAGGAGATAGTTCTCTTAGTGTTATTATTATTATTTATTATTATTTATTAAATTTATATACCGCCCTATCTCTAATGTTGACAAATGGATCCTGGAACTTAAGCCTTATTCAACAGTAGCATGGCTATAATAAAAACTTAGAGGAAACCCTGGAGAGGTCCTTCTAAGTTTTTAGATTCTAATTCAGTTCCCTGCCTGGATCCCTAGCATACCCTGGACAGATAGCCATCCAATCTCTGTTTAAAATCCTTCAGTGAAAAAGTCTACAATCTCTCAAGCAAAGTGGCATTACTGCTTCATTTGCCATTAGGAAAATCCTCTTCATAATACAGACTCATTATTTCTTGTATCCCCTTATACAATGAAGCCCATAAAAGCCTTATCCATTTTCTGCATTTCAGCCCTTTAAATACTTGAGGGCAACTATCAAGTTGTCCCATAATTTTCTCTTTTGTAGGCTAGATATAATTGTTTTCTTCTGTACACTTAGTTCATCAATATTCTTCTAAACATGCTTCACCCAGAACTGAATTCAATATTCTAG